TTTCACCAATATTTAGAATGGAACCTCAGGGTGGACATAGGCTGTATATTATTCCGTTAAACATTCATATAAATTAAAAGATATAATCTAGGTTAAGGCTTTTATGTCCAACAGATGGCGCTACGAGTACGACGCCCTAAATTTGCTTTTCTGTGAGGCATTATGCTTTTCTGTGAAAATGAACTAAAGCGGATCATCTTCTATCTATCTATATAAATAAAAATGTAATGTTCGTTTGTTCCTACCGATTCCTTTGAAATTTTCACACAACGCTGCATTCGAATATGTACGTGTTTTTATATAATATACATGTCGAAATTCTCCTCACTGGGGAAGATGGACAGGATTAAAGCTTACTGTGAAGAACTCTGCTTCTATTTATACTATTTTAAATGCGGGTTTTTGCGTTTTTGATTGCGTTTTAATAGGGTACGTCAAGAGAATGTACACTAAGAAGAAATTTTTCGTAAAATTTTTCCCCCACAGGGAAAGTGTTATGCATTTATAATAGATACATTTTGAGCCACAACAACGCGTGGTGGGGTCTGCTAGTAGTATATATTTCCTTCAATTTATTAGTGTCCTCCTTTTCATTGTAAAAAAGTTCGTCACTGATATAAGGGTCACTGATGCTAATAAATTTTGGTTGCGAAAGAACAATTGGATGCAGAGATAGACGTTGGTCACGTGTCATCTCGCGAGGGGTCAGACTTAATGAAAATTCTATTTGTGTAGTATTGTAAACTTCTATACATACATTTACTTTACTAATACGTACTTTTTATTATAAATTCTAAAAAAAACGGTTCAGTTGAAAATTAACAGTTATACACTATTAAAGTAATAAAATAAATATGTTAAGTGTAAGTGCAAAAAGCTTTTTAATTAAAAAGTAATTACTACAAAGAAGCTGCAATTAAGAGTAGGAGGCGAGAAACGGGTGTCTCTAACATTAAAAAAACTGAATCACTAGATTGCGTGCGATGATTGTACAGTACATTTGCAACTTCGCCACGCCTGAACCATTGAACCATTACACCTTTTTGAAATATAAAAATTCGTAAAATTCATATATTTTCATGTATTAAAGGGAAGTAGAATACATAACAGTGCAGCTGCCGTTGAGTATATATTGATGATTTCTAATTAATTTAAGAGTCAATACTTGTTTAACTGTTATTTCAATATTTAAAACTGGAAATTATTCCTCATATTTTAGTAATTTGGGATTTTTATATATACAACATGTTTATTATTTATTATAAATTATACATATTTAGTCTTAGGAGAAGAGTAAAAGTCTGATTTATATTAAAATCCGTGCAGTTTTAAATTGGAATTTCAGGGGTGGCCACAATGCCAAGTTTTGCTATACGTGACAATATAAAAATAGTAAATTATCATATACTAGAATGTAGATTCTATGCAAACTTTTTAAGAGTACGTAAAATTAAATCCGCATGCAAAGCTGTACTGATCAAATGCAATTAAATTAAAATGCATTCTACAAATAAAGATATTTAAACACAAGTTACATTCCTAAAGTCACTTTATTCATTGGATATGTAATTTATACATTCGAAGTTATTCGTTTTTATAAGAATTAAATAAATCAGTTGTTCCTAAACTTTTTCGATTCCCATTACCCTTACTAAAATCAGGTTTTCCTAAAGCGCCCCGTGTCAAATTCTAACAAGTAAAATTTGCAAAATAGTGAAATCGCCAATAATTAAAAAGTTAAGACGTTAAATAAAATA